AGCGGTGGCGCTGACGTTATTGCCGGTGAGTGTATTTTTTTAAAAAAAAATTGTTGTTTCTTTAATTAATTATTATTGTGAAATATTTAGACATTTAATTTGTATGAGTACCTATGTAGTTAAGATAGATAGTACACGCAATACGTAGTCCTATAGGTTAAAAAAGTTATATAATTACCTTGTGTACCTCTAATAGCCTTTAATTAAAGACTTCACTATCCTAATTGGTGCCTCAAATATTTGCGTCTAATATGCATGTAGCAGTGCATCATGCATTCAGGGAGGATACCTCACATGTTCTCTCTTTGGGTCCCCTATTTGGGGTCCCTAAAGGAGCACCCTTTTAATGGACCAGATCCGGGTCTGGTCTATGTACAAGTGGCACGACAAAGAATATTGTAAAATATTCAATGCATCCCCCTCAATGGAGCATCTAAGAATTTTTGCTCAGTTTATCTTTCTGCCCAAATGGGCATCCCATATAAAACACTTACAAAGAGGGGGAAAAAAGTACTTCAAAAACTTTCTTAGTCTAAAGTTAACCAACTTTTCTTATGTGGGCTCTTCATTCTGATACTTCATCTACAATGCTTTCCAAATTCTAATGCTTTAAACATGTATGCTTCCATCCGTTACAGAGATACTTTCATGACAATAAATAATTAGAATTAGAGGGGCGAGAGGAAAACTTTAGGCTGAGCTCCCCTATCCTCGGGCGTTACCGACCTAGAACCAAGCCAGCACAAAAAAGAAAAAGGTTACGCTCCGAAACATCTTTGGGCACAAAACAAAACTCTTTTTGAGCTACATTAATTTCAAGGAGTTACCTGTAAAAAACAACGCCCACCTCAACTTTCCCCACTTTGGTCCAAAATAAGCACCTACTTTTCGTCCATATCGCCACATGCCAACAATGCGCCGCTGATCTCTCACGTGATTTGGAATCTCAACAGAGAGCGACCAAAGGCATGCGTTGGGGCCTGCAGCCATCTGCAGTGGATTCCACAGGATCAAACTCGTGCCTTATATTATTTGAGGAATAAACTATTTAAAATTAAATCGTTTTTAAATAATGAAGGCTAAGTTACTAGATTAGTATTTCTAGTAAGACGAGCTTTTCAATATAGTATTTTTTTTTTTTTTTCATCAATAACAAGCTATTGATATTAAATCTCTGATTGCAATAAGGCATGAGTGCTGTGCTTATTGTCGGTGAACAATCTAGCGCGAAAGTATAATGTGACTTATCATATGACCTTTTTGTGAAACCTTCATTAATAGTTATGCTTAGTTTAAGCAAAAAATATTTTTTATAGAAAGAAATTTACATAAATCACGAATTCCAGACTATTAATTATCATTTATTTTTATCATGTCATTAAGTCACTAGCACGTGAGCATCTAAAAGGGGTCATAAAAGGTCATGTGACGCTTTCAAGCCACATTCTAAGCCAGTGATGACATTCATGTCTTAATGTAGATAGAAATTATCCAGTGTTAATTAACACCTTAATGTTGTCATAGAAAATAAAAGTACCATATCGGATAGGAAGCGTGCCTTAATGTTAGTCAAATAACAAACGTTATTCTTACTATGCATACTTGACCGAGTCACATCGAAGTCCAACTAATTGCCAGGTTTAATTTGTGTGTGTGATCATCTTATACATATGATAGGTAGCTGGTCGAGTGTATATTTGTATTTTGCTTATGATCCCAGTTTAGTTTAGTTTTTTTTTTTTCTATCCAAAGCACTGGGACGAAGTATGCCAAAAATTAAATATTATATTGACTTCAAAGATTTAAGCCCTCATCAATTGGTTTGTGAATATGTGCAGGTGCAATATGCGGACCGGCAAGCCTAGTAAACTCGATGATGGACCTCCACCACGGCGCCCTGATGCTCCTCGGCCCAACCATGAACGCAAAAGTCGCCTTCGACATCTCCGAGCGCCTCCCCCACCTCTCCCTCCGCATGAAGGAACACTGCGCCCGCGCCCTCACCTACGCTACCCGCATGAAAAAACTCGGCCTCAAAGTCATCTACCCCGGCCTCGATGATCACCCCAACCACGCCCTCCTCAAATCGATGGCAAACCCTGGCTACGGGTTCGGAGGCATGCTCTGTGTTGACATGGGGACTGAGGAGAGAGCAAACAGGCTGATGAACCATCTGCAGAACTCGACGCAGTTTGGGCTGATGGCAGTGTCGCTGGGGTATTATGAGACGCTGATGTCATGCTCGGGGAGCAGCACGAGTAGTGAGCTGAGCGTGGAGGAGAAGGAGGTGGCCGGGATCTCACCAGGGCTGGTGAGGATGTCGGTGGGGTATAGTGGGACGGTGGAGCAGCGGTGGGGGCAGTTTGAGAAGGCCATTTCTTGGATGCAGGATGCTAATCCTCACTATGGAAAGAACTGATCGAAGTGATTATTGCTATGACTTTTATTTAATCTTAAAACTGTTCACTATCAATCTAGTTTGTATTTTGATCCTTATTCTGCTTTGAGTAAAGGCTCATTAATCGTATCGCTTTGTCTGCTGCACGCAGTTTGTTATTTCTAGGATCCAATACGATGCCCATGAACGCTTGAAGTAGAACACTGGCAGTCGAGAGATTTAAAACATTATCAAGATCATCCCCACCAATATAGATTACTTGATCGCCATATAAATGAGCCCTGCTTCAATGTCATAGTTTTTGAGGCCAGTAGCAGCTGCTGGCTCTAGTGCTGGACATGTATAATAATACGTCCGTACGTGATCCAATCTTGTCCTTGGCGATTTAACACGATCTCCTAACCCAAATGTCCATGACCGTGCCCTGATTTCGGACTTGTGCTGGATTTTCGAAGGAATGAACATGCATAGAGAAATCATACATGATGTTAAAGGTTGGATCCTGTTCCTCTCAAAGCTGGACGGTGGACGTTATTCTATCATCCAACTTTCGAGTGGAGATAGGAGAGGGTGCAGATTAGGAGAGTTTAACAGTAGTAGTGATTAAATAAGTAAACTCGATGCCTAATTGGCAGCGGGAAAGATAATATCAAAGCGCACATAGTTGAAGTTTATTGGGGTCGGGAGACGCACACACCGCCGCGGAAGCGATATCAACTTCGAGAGAGAAAAAACAACCCTAGCTAGAGCTTACACCAAACTCAAAACCAACCAATCACAAGCAATAACGAATACACAGATAAAAATAAGCAAAGGAGACAAGACAACAGATTTACGTGGTTCGGCAAATTTGCCTAAGTCTACGGGAGCCGCACAAATAATTTCTTATTTAACGACAAGAAATTACAAAGCTTGCGAAGAGAAGATCTCAAACTTGAAATCTCTCAATCAAAATATCGATCACTGTAGAATTGCTACAGTACCACGTGTTATTTTTCACTGAGAAATCACCGCTCAATCTCATTGAGAATCGCCTTTAAAGGCTTCTAAAAAATCACCGCTTCTCTTGAGAAATCGCCGTCGCCTTAAACCCTCTTAAGAATCGCGAGATGAGCAGCTCAACGATTCTTGTGAACAGGGTTTCCCTTTTATAAGGAAATCCTAGGTCACGTTCAGGCGAGCTCCCTCGAGCTGACTTCCACCACGCAGGCGAGCTTGAGCGTTCCATCAGGCGAGGTCCGCGCACATGCGAGCTCTTCATCAGGCGCCCACAGGCGAGCTCGAACCCCTTTCACGCAGGCGAGGTCACCTCAGCAGGCGAGCTCGAACCCATCAGGCGAGCTTCCATGTCAGGCCGCCCGCCGGGGAGCTCGAACCCCTTTCACGCAGGCGGGGTCACCTCAGCAGGCGAGCACTCCCAGGCGAGTTCCGATTCCAGCAGGCAAGCTCCGACTCTCCTCGCCTCAAGCGAGCTCCGACTCCACCCACAGGTCCGTTCTTTTTCAATTCTCTACTTCGTACATCATTTGATAAACCTCAAATTTTGGACGAACACCAGAAGAACACCGCAAACGTCAACCAGGCCAAACCAGCTGTAGCATTATACCATGGTTGCCTACCCTCTGACCGGGATCAAGCTAATCGTAGTTCTGCTTGTTGCCCTCTTGGGCAGATCAACACGGACTGATATAAAGCAAGTCCAAGCAATGCTGAAACTTGCTACCTGTCACCACCTTGGTCAGCATGTCTGCTAGATTCTCATTTGTGTGCACCTTCATGAGAGAAATATCACCTTCCTCTATGACATCCCGCACAAAATGATATCTGACATCAATATGCTTGGTACGAGCATGATGAACTTGATTCTTGGCCAAATGAATCACACTCTGACTATCACATCACAAGTTCACACAATCCTGCTCAATCCCCAAATCATCTAGAAGATCCCACAATCACAATGCTTCCTTCACTCCTTCTGTCATGGCCATATACTCAGCCTCTGTAGTAGAAAGTGTCACTATAGCCTGTAACATCGATCGCCAACTAACTGGAGTTATTCTGAATACATAACTAGTAGTAGATCGTCGTCTGTCTAGATCACCCGCATAATCTGAGTCCACGAACTCATCAATCTAACATGTATCTCCACCAAAACATAGACTCGTATCAACGGTACCCTTCAAGTACATCAGGACCCATTTTACTGCTTCCTAATGTGCATTTCCCGGATTCGCCATGAACCTACTGACAACACTGATCGCCTGTGAAATATCTCGACGTGTACACACCATTGTGTACATCAAACTGTCAACTGCACTAGCATAAAGTACACGCTCCATGTGTGTCTTCTCTTCCGCTGTAGTGGGAGATTGTTTACCTGAGAGCCTGAAGTGTGGAGTCAATGGAGTCACCACCAACTTAACACTTTGCATCCCAAACCTTGAGATAACCCGCTCAATGTAGCCTTTCTGACTCAAGAACAATCGCTGATTTGCCCACTCTCTTCTAATCTCTATTCCCAGTATTTTCTTAGCAGCACCCATGTCCTTCATCTCAAACTCTTTACAAAGTTAAGATTTCAACATATCTATCTCCAACTTGCTTCTCGAAGCAATAAGCATGTCATCCACATACAAAAGAAGATAGATATAATCCCCTCCACGAAGCTTCCGAATATAGACACAACAATCATAATCGCTTCTGGAGAATCTATGCTTTAGCATGAAGGAGTCAAATCGCTTGTACCACTGCCGAGGAGATTGTTTCAATCCATAAAGTGATTTCCTCAGGCGAAATACATGATTCTCCTTATCCTTAACCTTGTAACCCTCAGGCTGATGCATATAGATTTCCTCCTCCAAGTCTCCGTGCAAGAAGACCGTTTTAACATCGAGTTGTTCTAGCGCAAGATCACCATGAGCAACAATACTCAATAGCACCCGAATAGAAGTGTGTTTCACCACCGGATAAAAGATCTCATTGTAATCCACACCCTCTCTTTGTGCAAACCCCTTAACCACTAGTCTAGCCTTGTACATTGTACCACCGAGCTCGGAAGGATCCTCCTTTCTCTTGTACACCCACTTACAACCAATAGCTTTCTTCCCTACAAGCAAGGGAACTACCTCCCATGTTTGGTTCTTCCGGAGAGATTCTATCTCTTCCTCCATCGCAGCCAACCAACTCTCACTATCCATGTCCCGAATAGCTTCTTTGAAGGTGACTGGCTCATCAACCTCCACCGAGAGTGCGTACTCAACCAAAGTTACCTACCCATAGTGCTTCAGAGGCTGATTTGACCCTAGCTTCTGAACCTGCTTGTATGCTCGCCTTGGTCTAGTGAAAGCCAAACTATTTTCGAATTGTTGCTGTAATACCTGTACATTTTCTTGCTGAATCTCCTCCTGTTCAAGCTCATCATCTTCATAATCCTCCTCTTGAACATGGCTAGAACCTGGTTGGTCTTTAGGTTCTATTTCAATCACCTGGGACTTTGAAGTCCTAACAGTCCCAATACCATCATTCTTAAACACCCTGGCAATCATGGATTTCTCATCAAATGTAACGTCTCTACTGATCACGAACTTGAAATCTTCTGCACACCAAAGGCGATAGCCTTTTACGCCCTTTGCATACCCCAAGAATATTGCCTTCTTGGCCTTCGTATCAAACTTTCCCTCGTTGACATGATAATAGACGGTACATCCGAAAATCCTGAGCCTATTGTAATCTGCATGCTCCCCTGACCATACCTGATAAGGTACATCACCATCCAATGTCGAATGTGGAGAACGATTTACTATTTAACAAGCTGTAGCAACCGCTTCTGCTCACTATTCTTTGCCCAAACCCATGGTTTTAAATATCGACCGATAATCCGATATTATCACTGAGTTATCGGAATTTGGAGCTTTCCGCTAGGATAAGTAGGATTTTTAATCGGTTATCGTTTTTTGAGGTTTATCGGCAAGTTATCGGCGATAAAGGCACTTATCGGCCGATAAGTAGGCTCTAAACATCGGCTTTATCGGCCGATAAGTAGGATTTGGGAGCTTTTACTTTATTTTGGATTTGCTCTTTGAATGTTTACAAATTATGAAGTATTTGTTGCTTTTGGAACTTGGTTGATTGGTGATTTAGCTTATGTTTGTTTATGGATATTGATAATGGCTCATAACTACTAAATATCAACTTAGTAAGTTAGTTTATGAATCTCATGATTAAACAATAATTATGTAGATGCGTAGATGGTTCTTCATTCTTGATGTTATCTTATTATTTGCTTGTTTATTATTCCATTTTGACTAACATTATATTTTTTCAAGCTTATGTTTGTTTATTATTTGCTAGTATATTACTCCGATAAATACTACTTATCCCCGATATATCCCTGATTTCTGCTATTCGATAAGGATTTTGACTGTCCGATAAATCCTCGATAACCGACATTTAAAACCTTGCCCAAACCAGCATATGATTGCATACTCATTGCTTTCTCCCGTAATGTACGGTTCAGTCTCTCCGCGACTCCATTTTGCTGTGGTGTAGACCTGACTGTCCAATGTCGAGCAATACTCTCCTGATCACAGAACTCCTTGAAAGCACCCTCTGTATATTCTGTATTGTTATCAGATCCCAGTGTCTTTAATTTCCTGCATGTCATGTTCTCAACCATTGCTTTTCACTTCTTGAATGTCTCGAATACCTCATTCTTATGCTTCAGAAAATAAATCCAAGCATACCTAGAATAATCGTCTATGAACGAGACAAAATACCTGGAACCACCCTTGGAAGTTGTCTGAGTCGGACCCCAAACATCTGTATGCACATAGTCTAATATACCTCTGCTCTTGTGCTTGCTTCTTAGAAACTGAACCCTGTGTGCCTTTTCATACATACAATCCTCGCAAAAATCCATGTAATGTTTCTTCATGTTCTTCAGCAAACCTTCCTTACCAAGCATATCTAGACCCTTCTCTCACATGTGCCCAGGTCGTCTATGTCATAACCGAGTGTGCTCACATGGGTCTCCACCACTTCCATCAGTTCTAACCGCTGCATCTCTTGTCACTATTGTACCTGAGAGAGTATATAGATTACCATGACGAATTCCCTTCATCACTACTAAGGAACCCCGAACAACCTTCTTTACTCCGTTCTCTGTTACTATCTTGTAACCACCGGAGTCCAAAGCACCAACTGAGATAAGATTCTTCCGCAAGTCGGGAATATGCCTCACGCCCGTTAGGGTTCTGACCACTCTATCATGCATCTTGATTTTTATATCACCAAGCCCCACCGTTTTACAAACATGGTTATTCCCCATCAATACAGTTCCACCATCAATGCTTCTATAGATAGTAAATCACTTACTATTTGGGCACATATTGTAAGAGCAACCCGAATCAAGAATTAACTTACCGGATATATCTTCGCCACTCATAACAACGTAGCATTCTTTATTGCTCCCTTCTTCTGAGACGTAACTCACCTCTTCCTTGCCTTCTCTCCTCTCGATTTTATTGTTGTTCTTTTTCTCACCTACTCTCTTGTTAAGACAGTCGACCTTGAAATGCTCAAGCTCACCGCATTTAAAATACGATCTTCCCGCAAGAGGTCTTGATTTCGATCTAGACTTTCCTCCCTTACATTTTCCTCACTCATTGCTCCTTCCTCTAACAAACAATCCCTGTGTCTGCTCCTTGTTACCACTAGTGGCCATATTATTAGTTGCAATTTTTCGAAGATCATCTGCTAGAAACGTCGTTCTAGTCTCATCCATCTTCAAATTGTCACCCACAAGCATCAATGTTTGTACCAGGTTCTCATAAGACTGTGGTAAAGAAAGAAGTAGCAGAAGTGCTTGATCCTCATCTTCTACTTTCACATCAATGTCCTTCAAGTCCGATATGATCTTATCGAACTTGTTGATGTATTTCCGGATTGATGAGCCTTCCTCCATTTTGCAAGTATACAATTTGGATTACAAATAGATCCGATTTGTTAGACTCTTCATCATAAAGGTACTCTCTAACTTTGATCACATGCCTGCAGTCGTTTCCTCTCCGTCCACCAAGAAAGCAACATCCCTCTCGAGGCCTAGGATAATCAACGCTCGTGCTTCGAGATCTAACTCTTCCCAATCCTCATCTGACACATCTTTGTTCTTCTTTTCTCTTCCTGCCAATGCCTTGTGCAATTTCTGCGAAATCAGCGAATTTTTTATCTGCATCCTCCAATAGGAAAAATTATTCTTCCCATTGAACTTTTCGATCTTGTACTTTTCAACTTTAAATGTTTTACTGGTAGACGTCATCCTCCCCTTGTTTCAGTAAAACCGCCTCTCTCAGGAAATTTTAACAAATACATTGTGTGCACCATATAATAACCAAGCACCACCTCAAATCGGAAGCTCAATCACCGCCAATCTGAATAAGGGCTTTGATACCAATTGTTAGGGTCGGGAGACGCCCACATCGCCGTGGAAGCGATATCAACTTCAAGAGAGAAAAAACAACCCTAGCTAGAGTTTACACCAAACTCAAAACTAACCAATCACAAGCAATAGCGAATACACAGATAAAAATAAGTAAAGGAGATAAGACAACAGATTTACGTGGTTCGGCAAACTTGCCTACGTCCATGTGAGCCGCACAAATAATTTCTTATTTAACCATAAGAAATTACAAAGCTTGCAAAGAGAAGATCTCAAACTTGAGATATCTCAATCAAAATATCGATCACTGTAGAAATGCTATAGTATCGCGTGTGATTTTCCACTAAGAAATCACCGCTCAATCTCACGAAGAATCACCTTTAAAGGCTTCTAAAAAATCACCGCTTCTCTTGAGAAATCATCGCCGCCTTAAACCCTCTCAAGAATCGCGAGATGAGCAGCTCAACGATTCTCGTGAACAATGTTTCCCTTTTATAGGGAAACCATAGGTCACGTTCAGGCGAGCTCGCTTCAGCTGGCTTCCACCACGCAGGCGAGCTCAAGCGTTCCATCAGGCGAGGTCCGCACATAGGCGAGCTCTTCATCAGTCAAGCTTGAACCGCTACACGCAGGCGAGCTTCCACGCTAGGCCCACGTCAGGCCCGAGCCTTCCACGCCCAGGTCGCCCGTGAGGCGAGCTCGAACCCCTTTCACGCAGGCGAGCTCGAACCCATCAAGCGAGCTTCCATGTCAAGCCGCGCACAGGCGAGCTCAAACCCCTTTCACGCAGGCGAGGTCACCTCAGTAGGCGAGCTCTCCACCCTACACAGGCGAGCTCCGACTCCAGCAGGCAAGCTCCGACTCTCCTCGCCTCAGGCGAGCTCCAACTCCACCCGCAGGTTCGTTCTTCTTCAAAGTTGATTATGAGATAACTAGGGCAGGTCCGAGTGCAAGGTGCACAAAGGGTACAAGCATCGAAAAATATCCACCAACAACCTTTATCAAGTAAATAAAAATAAAAACTACGGAATAGTATAATAGACACAAATAAGCATGTGAGAGACTAAATTCTGTTAGAAACATACTGGGAAAATTGACAGGATAATATCCTCAAAAGTGTACAGATAACCTAACAGAGGACTGAGTCTGCATTGTCAGCTAACAAGGTCACAAGTAAAAAATGTAAATTAAAAAACTGGAGATGCCTACAGAAGAAAACCCTCGTCTTCATATTTTAATTACCTTGGTTAGAAACCGATGAACTTAGTGACGAATCATCTCTGTAAAGATACCTTAAAACCAAGCCATTAACATCAATGGGCAGGAGAAATTTCCCCAGTAGACAACCTGTACTGATAGGTTCAGGTGGTGGAACTATTGTTAGAACACCACTCTTTCTGATCAACATTCCCATTACAGTCAAATAACTCCCTTCCATGATATATCTGTTAATACCAAGTGACCAAAAATTCTGTATCAAGTCCACAATCACATTCTCTAAAGAAAAGAGTGCAGGTTTTAAAGGTTTTAAGTCGTAATACCCTTCTTTAAGACACAGTAGACGTGATTCTGATGAAAGATGCCTTTCTTCTAGCCATTTCTTCAAAGTTGAAGACAGTTCTTTTTTTCTGCTTGAAGTTTTGACGATTAGGCTCTCTGTGACCAGAGGACTTATTTTGGAATCAGAACTGACTTTGACCAAAACTCTGGCACCAGATCTGATATCAGTGATGTAAAAATCTGCAATGCACCTCTGAAGAATATGCAGACAATGAGAACTGAAAAAAAATGTAGAATATAAAAGGTACGTAAGGGAAAAAAATTCTGGTAAAATTTCATTAGGTAAGACATGAAATAAGTTTATAATTATGTGAGCGATATAAACATTAAAGAGTAGATGTTTTTCTAGATTTAGAAAAACATTTTATTTTGAGCATCAAGCCACTACCCCATCCCTAATTTTCTAGAATTTGATTAAGTACAGGCTTGAATCATTTTGAGATAATCCACCCAATTCCATGGTCTTTTACAAATAACATCATTTCAGTTCATCAGTCATATTCATTCTGCAGGCAGCAACAAAAAGGCTTGTCTAGCGAAAAATTGGGACTTGTGATGTACTTGGAATTTCTTCTGAATCGGTGCACTCGTATTATCTGTAAAAGGCAGCGAGAAGATTGCTAATGCAGTTTGAAGAAAGGTTAGATGTGCCAAATGGGATTTGGCATTTCAGCAGAAGCCAATTTTCAGGCAGCTCTAGGGGAATAGATTTTCCATGTAATCGACATGCAGCACTGTATGAACTAACATCCTGCAACAGAAAGAGTTGGAAGGAGAAAACGCTAGTAGGAAAAGAAAGAAATGTTCACTAATTGACTAGTTACTGGGAAAACACAATCAAGTGTTAGGGACTAAAACCTTATAGACCCATACCTGACTATATCCTAGAAAATTCAAGAGAACCTAGAGACAATTATACAGGCTTCGTGACTTAAGAAGAGTCAAGCAAAAATGTATACTTGCTCACAAGCATATTTCATACAGAATTAAGAGTATATAGTTGCTTATATAAGTAGTTGATACAGCCTTAAAAGGTCTTGATATGAAGAGAAAAAAGAGAAATAAGCTGTTTTTCATCCCAGAAAAGGAAGCATGTAAGCTGCCGCAAGAATGCAGTAATATGTTCCCCTTGTTTCCTTGAGGAAAAATAGTTCCAGATAAAGCACAGAGAAAACACTATCACCACTTCAGCCTGAGAAGATTCAATCATTTTAAACACAAGTCCTGTATGGAGTACGTAACAGTAAGATCAAGAAAATATTTTCCTTTCATAGTGTCAGTTTCGATACTATCCTAGTGAAGTAAAACTTTTTCTGATAACCCATTAATAAGCAAGACATTCCAAAACTGATGATTCATTTTTGACTTTTTACGCAAACAACAACAACAACAAGTATTATAAATTAATAGTTTTGTTGTTGTAATTTCGGGTCTACAAGCATTATAAATTAATAATTTAATTTTCTGACAAATGCATAATGGCTTAAATTGAAGTCGTTCATTTGGATTAATACAAAAGCGGATAGTTTTTACATGTTAATCACACTAACATTTCATATCTAAAAAGCAGGGTAAATTATTAACATGAGAAAAGAAAGCAACTTACGTGCAAAGACATGCATCCGAAATCTCTTTAAATTCCAATCACACAAGAGCCTAATAAGTAGACTATCATTTTTCCTTTGAAATTTCGCAACTGATATCTTAGCTCTTCTCATCTATGAAATACCCATTATAGATACATAAACTATTACTTAAATACCCGCTATTATGCCTCCACTGATATAGCTAGTGCTAGAGAAAATAATTTTCTTGAGAACAATGAAATAAGTTTATCGATGGGATCTCCTTATACCTCTACATATATTAAGTTCCACCAGAAGCATAAGTTGTAAGCACTACTCATCTTTGATCCAAACCCTTTATATTCATATAGAAGAGTAGATGAATAGATACATCTTTCGATTTTCTCATAAGAAGATTCCAAAGCAAGATCCGCGCATGAAGCACACTGTGACCATTAAACAACACAATGAATTATCAGCTTGTTAAAAAAGAAACCAACAAATTACCACTTACATATAAATTATTGGTTCACAGACTGCAGAACAACTAAGAATTGAAATGACAGATCAAAAACATGGAACCCGTAATTTTTTAATATGGAGCATACCATGGAAACAATTTTCAAAAATATTTATAAGGACTTTGGTCCAGCATTTATAGATAGGAAAATACGAGCTACTTGCACCAGTGCTGAACCCTGAAGACACTCTTTTTTTGCTGGTGTTCAGATACCAAAAGAAAACAAATGTTCTTAACGAGATGCCCAGATTAGCAGGACAAGTATAATTGGTGTGGAGAAATTTATGCAATATGTATAACCAGAGCCAAATTATCCATCCAACTAAAGTACAATAGTATTTGCCAATTTTATAGAGGGCAAATAAGAATCTGGCTAAACTGCTAATTCTAAAATGCGATGCATGAATTTTTTGTGAACGGCATGCTTAGCTAAAATACTTAAAAAGGGTAGCCCAGTGCACGAGGCTCCCACCATTGTGGGCTCTGAGGAGGGTTAGATGTACGCATCCTTAACCCCGCATGCGAAGAGGCTATTTCTAAGATTTGAACTCATGACCTCCGGGTCACAAGGCAACAACCTTACCGTTGTGCCAACACTCACCTTCATGCTTAACTAATATGCTTCTGAACTATATATCACATATTGACTGATTTCAGGAAGGCGGACATTATAGATTTGGATACTACACCCATTTACGTATAGTTTGCAACATGACATGAGACACATGCGAAATGCAAGTTATCCCTACTATAGAGATATGATAAAGTTCCTTATAAATGTGCCTTCTCTGGTAGAAGAACTGGTTCCAGGAAGAGGAAATACCGTTCATCACATTGATCTACAAATATGATCCCATCTTTGCCTCACATATAGCCAATCACTTATCGATATGAACTACCACTGGTTCCTATTCTTTTCTGCTCTTCAATAAAATCATCCAACAAGGAGCACAAATCCTTATAGACTATCTGCATCAAATCTTTTACTCGATTAGTCATCTACAAAACCATTCTCTGGGTCATTCGATCTTATTGGCAACCTAGGTTTTCCTTCATTCTATGTTGGCTTGTACATGGAACAGGTCAGCATCCTGTACCCCTACGATTTTCAGATTTTTCTAAACAACAACAATAAAGCCTTTCCAAAGTTTTGGGTTTAGATTTTTCTAAACCGATATTCTAAATTCCAATGACACAGCTATATTCTGTTTGTATACAAAGACTGTAGCTTTTACACAGAACGATGCATCCATGAAATAGGATATTCAATAGAATGTCTATGATACAAGAGTAGGGGTACTCAAAAATCAGAAAAAGTTGCGCTAACTAGTGTTAATCCTAACCAAGGATCTTGCACATGACATCATACATATTGGGTTCTTCAGGACTTTCTAATCTATTTAAAGTCCCAATTGTTAACGTCAAGGATAAATTGGGATTCCGAAAACAATGAGTAGCACAGACAATAGGATGTTGGATCTATTTCATTTCATAGTTATAATCTGTTTTGAACTATACAACATGAACCAATGTTTAAAAAAGCGGATGCGCAAGGCAAAGCGTGGGACCCATTAAAGATGGGAGGTGTAAGCTTCAAAGTGTGAGTGGTGAGCCTTGTGACTTTGAGAATTTTAATTTTAATATTTATGAAAATTATGAACATATAGTATATAGTGGTATAAGAATATATATATAGCTACATTCATGTCAAATCAGAATTCAATATGTGAAGTATAGACACGAATCATATTAAAATAAGGTACATGCATAACATATATATCTTATTTATAATCACATGATCATATTGCAGATACACAAGGGCGTTTTAATATTAGTCAAAATTTCTTTTATATCCTCCTATCCAGTCTAAAACTTTTCCTAGAGCGTGCACTTCAAAAGAGAAGCGCGAAGCATACACTTCAGTTATGCTCTAAGCGATTAGGCATAAGCTTCAAAGGATAGATAGCTTCTCTCTCGAGTTTCAAAGCATTGACCCTTTGTTAAGGAATATAATATGAGATATTGTTAAGATATTGGGAGATATAAGTGGATGTGATTTTATCTCATACCTATTTCATAATATCCTTCTAACCTCGGTCAGGGTTAGATGAATTATATCTTAACCTTTTTCTATTTCTCTACATGGTATCAGAGGCATCCTCTTGATCCTAGAGAGACCTCTTTCTTCATCGTCTCCATCGAGCCACCGAGGGGTTTTTTTTAGGAAACTTCGTGCCTCCCCTCAGCGGACTCGACATCGAATTAATGTCCACCGGCTACTATTCATCAAGTACTGTTATCGGTTAATGTTCATCCATCGAATTATTGTTCACCCGCTATTGTCCATTGGTACTGTTCATCAATAAGCATGTATTGTTCATATTCGCGGATTACTGATCACCATCGACTCCGATCAGAGCCGACTTTGCTCTCATCTGCCCTCATCGACCTTTGCCTCGTTGCCCTCATTGATCTTTGCTCGAGCCCAAAGTCAACTCCACCTCTTGGATTATTTGTTTGTCAGAGCCTTAAAAGAATGATCATTTATTGTTGGATCCTTCAAGGAGGGATCATTTGTTGTTGGATCTCGGAAAGAAATATTTGTTGTTGGATCCTTCAAGGTTTGATCAGTGGAGCCCTAGAGGGGGTCAGCTGATTTGAAGACATTCAACTGAAAGATAAGAAGATCAAGACTACTTTTGAGTTTTTCGAAGAATCGTCACAGGTTAGAGTATGTGCACTTTGTTTGTAACAAGTCGGGCATGTATGATATACCTGCTTCAGCTTGAGGGGGAGTGTTAAGAAATATATTATGAGATATTGTTGAGATATTCAGAGATATGGTTGAATATGATTTGATCTCATACCTATTTTCTAATATCTTCCTAAACTCTGTTTAAGAGAGGTTAGGGTTAGATGAATTATATCTTGGCCTTCTGCTATTTCTCTACACCCTTCAAAAAAGTATCGGAGCGAGTTTCAAAAAAGCTTTTTCAAAAGTTGGTATGAACCTCCATAAAATATGCATCCTAGCAATGCTCAGTTTGCGATAGGAAGGAGGATCAACTCTATGTCACCGTTTTGCTCGGTCAAACAAAATGCAGTCCTAAAAATGCGACAAAGTACCAGCATCTACAGGAGTTCAGGTTAAGCAGGGATGAGGTCACAAGCCAATTTTCGTTATTATCGCACAAAGCTAAATCAAAGTACGGCGCATTTAGTTACCCCGGTGATCTTGACGATCTGGCCGTCCTTGGCGGTGAGTAGGTCGGTGGTGGGCGTGCGATTTAGGAACAGGAGGAGAGTCCCGTTGCTCCTCAACTTGTAAACATTCCAAATGACGAAGGAGAGGACGAGGATCGAGAGAAGGAAAACGGAAGCTAGGGTGAACGCGTTGTGGACCGCCACGAGGATGAAGGCGGAGACGGCGAAGGCGGGGAGAAAGAGGAGGAGGAGGAGGCAGGGGATGGGCGAGGGGATCGGATCGCGAGCTTGGGGTTCAAGAAAAAGCCAAAAGTGTCCGGATGCGGTCCAGTGCGGTCTGATCCCGTGTCTCTTCTCAGGTTCGGATAATCAGATTAGCCCCCGGTTTTTGTCTTAAGTTTCTATTAAAGCCCTCAAACTAGTATTTATTTCTAGTAGAGAACTTTTTTCTGTATTAATGCTATTTAGTCCTCCCCATCGTGATTCAACACCCCCCAGTCATCGCCAAAACCAAAATTTTACCAAGGGCCAACTTAGAATATTGCAAAAATAGTCGCACGCATTCCATGTGATATCCAACTTTTTTGCTCAACCAAAAAAAATGTTATCTCACTGTGGTACAAGAAAATATAAGGCCAACATCATACTAATAATGAAACCATCACCCATATCGAGCTAACAACAATATCTTTTGACGCTTTCTATGATATCTCGATATATCTCACTGTGATGTTATAACAACATTTGCGATTTAAAGCAGTGCATCCACTCATCTAGTTTGAAATATATTTTGTATCATCTTAGTCGACGAATTTGTTGCTGCATACTGGAGCTCATCAATCTCATCTGATCTAAGACGCCATCCAAGCGAACCCAGGTTCTCTTCTGCTTGTTCAACTGTCTTCACTCCTGGAATTGGAATTGTTCCTTTACAGATACACCAGTTTATGGCGACCTGAAAAATACAAAGTTCATACAAGTGTCATGATCATGTAGCTGACTGTAGCTTTGGAGTTCTTTACTGAATAATGGTTTAAGCTCGTGGCCTTGTTATCGATATCCTGAAATACATGCAAATTCTGATTATGACCAATGAAATTGTGTTATTTTACTAAAAGTTGTGTACTGGTAAAACTTGGAATAAGGGTTGAATCGGTTGATGTTTGCTGCTGCAGCAGGATTACAAGCTGCTGTCCAATAGACTAATTTGCAAGGGGAAAATTTTTCACTTCTTATCTGTCAGCTAAGGTAAATAAAAGAAATTTCGTTAGCACCTTTTGTTTGTTTGTTTTTTAAAGCAAAGTTAGCATTTTTCATATTTTATGGATTATGCTAACGAGTGTCGTCATGACAGTTTCAGACTTCATGGCCAGATCTAATGAACTAGGAACTATAATTAGAAGAAAAAAGATAAAGGTGATTGTCAAATAGATATGCAGAAAATTTATGTAATATTATATATATTGAAGACAAAATTATCTAAAATTTAGCTGTCAAAAGGTGACAACAACCTTGCTGTTTGAAAAGTTCAAGTGAGAAGTATATAGAAATTTCAAAAAACAGTGTTCTAACCAAGAGCAGAAATGCCAGAACATGATATGTCAGTAAGGTGCAGTCATTTTACAAAAATGAAATGGTGAAACCAGACATAGAAACATTGCGGTTTAGCCTTGTCAGATCAAATAAAAAAATGGCGAAAAAGCAGACGGTAGACCGGCCGGCTCTCCCTGTTGGTAAACTGACCGGTCAACAGGCCCAGACTCGCCCCGGGGCTGATTTTGTTTTCGGAATCTTGTTCAGGTTAGAAGCCCTGTTTGGTATTGTATTCAGGTAATCCTATAAATATAGGTCTTCCAGGTCTAGGGTTATCCAAGCCAAAAGAGGGTCGCGTATTGTAAAAGAGTTGTAGAGAAGAAACAAAGGAGAGAAATATAGGATTCATGAGGATCTTTGGTGAGATTGAAAGAGGATTTCTTGCGGGTTCTTGAAGAACGCAAGAAAGGCCAAATCTTATATAGTCTCTAGGATAAAGAAGACCAAAATCTCTCCCTGTAAACTTAGGCAATTGTCGAACCACGTACACCCTATGCCTTTGCGTCTGGTACTTACTTTTCTACGGTATATTGTTGTGCTTAGTTTTCTGTTGTGTTCAGATCTTGCTTTTTTTGTTGTTTCCCTATTGCCGAGGTGATCGTTAACCCCTGTAAAAAGGGTAAAATCTAGTTGGGCAGGTCCAGAATAGCTTCCACGCGCTAATTGTTTTGCAACAATTGGTACTAGAGCCAATTGTTTGGCAACAAGAAAAACATGAGTTCAGAATGTACCTTAAGTTTGAATTTGGGAATTCAGTCTCTTTTGGATGGTTCCAAAATGTGTGATAAAGCAAGATCAAATTGGGGGGCATGTGTCGATGCTAACAGCACGGTGATTACTTGGTAAATCTTTTAATTGGAGCTGGAACAATTGGTTGCAAGGCAAACAGCAGTCTTTTATTAGCAATTTTTTTGTATTAGCCTTCTCTTCTGAAAATTAAGATCCTTTTAAAAGCAATAACAAATATTATCCTTCTGCCTAGGCAAAGGTTTGAAATAAATAAAAGCAAAACAAAAGCACCAGGTTTTTTGGGAGAAACCAATTTCAGATGATCTTCTGCTGAATGTGATACTGAAGTTCTGACCTTCCAGATAAGAGTTATCCAGGTGGGAATGGTAGTTAGATTATATTAGATTCAATATAGAAGTTTATTACACATGCTTGCTGATTTACTAAACTAGCACACTCAATTTGGAGGGTTATACTCTTGATAGATTTCACTATGGCGACAAGCATCCTTCACATTTGGGGACAGCTCAATGATCCACTTGACATATTCCAATACAGTTTAGCCCTTTTAACTCTGCAGACCATTATACTCTCACTTTCAGAAACTTCTGAAGTTTCTTCCGGATATTTAACTAGGTCCACATTCATGGCCCAGGGATGTGTCTGATTATTAACTGTTACAACAAAAATGAAATAGGTGATCGTTCTTGATATATAGCTATTGGGTCTCACAGACTTTGCGGGTTTCGCACATTCTATATTGGATTACACCAATGGCATACTTAGATGGAAAATATGATGGATATTCTGGAATTGAAAGATCCATAAAAGAGCCTTTCTAGATTCTCTACTGTGCTCATCTATGTTTGGTTGACAATGAAATACAACATATAATTGATATAAACTAAAAGCTAGTGCATGTAATGTATTCATGGCAGAACATCAAGAAGTGTTCTGATTTATCATAATATAATTCTAGGACAATTAATTATATACCTGGGACATAGTCTTTCCTCTTCTTACTGCAATTCCTTTTAATGTACTAAGTAAAGGATCCAAACCTGGGAGAATTTGACGAAATAGTAAACCACTGCAAGAGAATAGAAGTAATTATATAAACTGTTCTCCGTTCTTTTCAGAATGTTCTTTTTGAGGGAAAGTACAAGAAAACTACCGTGGTCCACGTGGGAGGTTTGAAGATGTATATTTTCCAGTTAGCATTCCTAATCCAAGAGGACTGTATGCAATTATCTGGACACCTAGAGAATCACATACAGATTTCAGCTCCTTTTGTTCTTCACCTATGCTCAGCAATGAAAATTGAACCTGCAATAAATTAAATTATCTTATTCAAATCGATTATTCAAACCAGTGTTAAGTTATCCAACATTTCAGAAAAATAAATCCAGCCACACAAAAAAAAGCAAGATGGGGCACCTGAACTGAGCATAATGGAACACCACGAGACTTGAGATAATCATATATTTTAATGAGTTGCTTTGGCCCATAATTGCTCACACCAACCGCCCGAACTAAACCCTATCAATGACATGCATCCAGTTTATCTTAATTTCTGAAGAAAAATACAACAAAGAAATTGAGTAAAGTGAAAATAGTTTCCTATCAATAGAAAAATATACATTGACTTGGTGAATATACATAGACTACATCTTTGATGAATCCTATATTTTATCATTAATCAAGAAGTATCAAATATGTACAAAGACTAAAGAAGTAAGTTTGGTGGTTTCTTTAAGTGAGTCCCTTAATTAACCTTAGTTAGTTTAGTCCCTCAATTTTTTGTATTCCTATATTGTCCTTGAATCATTATCACAACAAATTTGACAAGGAAATGAAAGGTGACATCGACATTAAGTTAAAACTGAAAGCCAAAACTCTAAGCAATGTTATAAGTACAATAAGAATGCTTTTAAACTTGCATATATAATACTAAAATATGAGTTTAACTAGAAAACTAAATTAGCTTGATGCTTCCAAAAATGAAAAAGATAACAATTAACATAATGTTAACAGTTGGCAAAAAAGTATATCAAAATTATGGCTAAGAGTCTGCCTGTAGCTATATATACAGGTATGCCAACCTTTTCATACATTGCGACTAGTCCATCCCAGAGAGCCGACTCCTGTGCAGGTGCATAATTTGCAGTTGACCAATGTAACTGTCCAATTCCTATTTGCTCAAGTTCCATTCTCTCCAGTGAAGACCTGTTGGCCAAAGTCAATCCTTAGAAGCAAATAAAAACCCAGACTAGCGGTATGACTTGTCGACTAATGCAGAGAACCATATCAAAGGTAGATCAGTTACATTTTAAAAAACTATTTTTTTTCTTCGTGTATGCATCAATTAGCATTTAGCAATCAGAAGAAAATACTTGCAGGCTTTAACAAACTGTCCGGATGTCAGTCGCCAAGGATATGCAGCAAACTTTGTAGCAATAACAACATCATCTCGAACTTTCTTTGGCCCTGGAACATAAATAAGTTAACAATGAAACTACATAATATTATTTGATTAGGTTCATAACAACGGTATGAAAAGAAAATAGAAAGGTCACCCACAGCCCTAACCGCCGCCCCCCCCCCCCGGTAACCTAGGGAAGTACATTTGTTGGCAGGTAGAGCGAATTTCCCAACTTAAAGTAAGTGAATTAAATGATAACCTACAGATTACATGATTTGTGCAAAAGCCACAATCCAGCAACCAGAGCTGAATTATAGATAAGAATTGTCGTTGTCGAACGCTTTCTATTTGAAAATGTGTTGATCCCCCCCCCCCCTCCTCCTTTTACCAAATCAACAAAAGGATGCAATAACTTCACAATCCCATCCTTTTGTTTATGTGAGAGGAATGTTTGACATCTGCCATCATGCAGAGATCCAAATACCGAAGCAGGCGAAGATAATAGTTGAAAGTTGAGGATATCGGCTGCCATATCTCCTAAAACATATATGGCAATATCTCGAGTAACATGATATGAGTCTCAATTGATATATTGGGTCTACATTGTAGTGTAATGTACACAGGGTATGCAAAGTGAATGAAGAGTCGATACGCATTGAAATGCCCCAATAGATATGTATATCACGCTTTAGCTAAGATCATTTTGCCTAACCTTGATATTCACGAATGAATTTTCCGAGTAGCCTTTCGCTTTGCCCAGTCAATTTTCCAGTTCCATAGGAGTCGGCAGTATCAAAAAGATTAATTCCCTTCCTCACTGCCAAATTGAATGTCTCCTGCAGTTCACCATCCATTTCTTCCTGATATCCCCAAAGTAGCTTGTTCCCCCAAGCCCAAGTTCCAAACCCCATGGGAGAGACCGATAATGGGCCAACTTTAACCTATAATTAAGCAAAAATAAAGACCTTCATATCTGAATTGAGAAGCATCGCTATGCATGGTAGGAGTTTTGATGCCGTGGAAGCTATGTTAAGATGGTCTGAATTGGTATCAGAGCAATTCTGATCCAAATGCCACCAAACACCAATTTGAAGTGCATTCAAATAAGTTATTTACCGAACCCCCCCCCCCCCCCTTAAAATTTTTGGGGAGCTGCTGTAAAACCCTTGTCAACCTTTTTTTATTACATTAAACCCCCATGAAATTTCGGAGTTGCTGCACACAACTCCGCTGACTGTTTTATTACACTAAACTCACATGAAAATTTTCTTCTAATCTCCAAATTACCACCATTTGGTTCTAACATCTTATTGGCAAAGCATGTGCTGAGAAAGGATGAAAATAATTCTTAGTCCCAATATATATATATATATATATATATATATATATATATATATATATATATATATATTTATATATATTAAGAGATAATTTTCATGTAAGATTTAGTGAAATAAGACAGCCCATGGGTTTATTTGCCATAATCCCACCCCACCCCCCCCCCCTCCCTACCACCGGGGAAAGAACACTCGGTCCACTCAGCTCTGTTAGAATATAAACTTGTAACCTTCAGTCTTATCGTCACAACTTCAGAGTTTTGGTCTAGCTAAATGGACTCTGAGACTGTTCAATGTTTCAAGTCTACGTCTGCTCTAGTGGTTGATAGTTGTGTGCAACATAAAACTTTTCCCAATTGAAACAATTTATCCGGCTAAAATTGGGTTAAATTTTCTGGGTCTTCTTTCTTTCGCAATGGCTTCAATGTTGTCGCACTACCACAACAAATTTCACAAAAGAACTGGATATTTTTCGAGCTTTTTTTACCTTTTCCCATGGCCAGAAAAGAGGGCCAAGTCTGGGAGGGAAGCTGAGAGATTTGGCATTGCCAGCTGAAGGAGAAGAGGAAAGCTTCGTCTTTGGATTTTGGTAAGCCTCGCTCGAGGCTCTGAAACTGTTGCTGTTATGGACTGTGACTAATAATGCTGCCGCCATTTCTCCCTTTTGGGAAAGCTTTTGGTTTGAGCGGTAGGCTGAGGAGATGCCCCATCTCTCTCCATTTAGGATGAGAGTGCCGATGACGGGTCGGGTCGTTGTGAAGTTAGGTTTGGATTTGACCCGTACTCAAAATTTTAGGTAGGTGTTCCTAATCAGCCCACTTAAGATCCGGATACATGGCTTTTGGGTCGAGAAAGTGAAGTCCATGAGCGCGGTAAGCTAGGGCTACGCATTCGGTCGGTCCGTCGGTTTGGTTTTTAGCCAAATTTTGTCAAATCGAACCGAACGGCCTATCATTCGAAATCGAACCGAAATGATTCAAGTCGGTTTGCTTCGATTCAGTTTATTCGATTTTCACTTGGGTTACAAATTTTATATCCAAATTCAATGTCACATTTAATCTGTTGACTAAGAAAGAAGTCCTCCATACTTCAATTTATTAAAAGAATGAACTATCAAATGCTACTGAATATTAGATGAAGAAATCAAAATATATATATATATATATATATATTCTTATGTCAACTTAAGTGGACCATCTACCAAACTTTCTATCCGTTGATGATACCTAAGGACCCATGCAAGATTCTATGTGCATCAATCAAGGAGAAAAATCAAGAAATGGTTAGAATCAACATTAGAGTTTAAGTTTCTTACCTCCAAAGTGGACTAGTCCAAAGTAAACGAAGCGAATAGAAAATAGAGAGGTGTAGAGACTTAGATATGATGAGAAGCCCTAGAATTGGAGAGGGCACTGTTGCTGGGGTATTTCGTCGCTATCAGGTCGTGTGAGAGAAAAAGATATCAAACTGCAGCGAAGTAACTCTATATGAACTATTGTAGGGTCGAAAAGTTGAAGTTTAGTTGATTTCTTGTTTTAAGAAATGGATTCGATCACTTAGTACGAATCCCTTACAATCACTCACACTCTCTCGATTACAGAGGAAGAGAAGATTAGTTTGACTTCTCTTTTGTTTAAAAGTGGGTTCTTGGTGGTGAAAGGATGCTTCTCTCGATGCTCAAGCCGAGATTGCTTCCCGTTGACGATCAGATCAAGATCGCTTCAACTTGAGAGGAGAATCAGACTTTGTTGATGGCTTAGATTGTTAGAACCGAGGTTCGGATCCCAATCTTGAATGCCAAAGCGCTGCCTCTCGTGCTCCTCGTCTGCCCCTCCAAAAATCACCTCTTTATAGCTGATTGCGGGTATTTATAGAGCTTCAACACGAAACCGACGTGCTAAAATTATGGGTAGAGGACGTAACTAATGCGCTAAAATCGTGGAGTCGTGGCGTAACTGACTCCTTGGATTTAGACCACATTGTTGACTGGGTCTTCGGAGCTGTTACAGCTGGATCTCCTACGGACGACGAGCCTCGCTGCATGGCGAAGTTCATCTGCTTGAATGAGACTCAATATGCAGTGAGGTTCGTCTTCTAAGGCCAACTTTGCAGTATAGCAAATAGTCTTCACTGACGTCGTCTGACGAGCTTCGTATTCGCCAACGAACTTCGTCTTTGATAGTTGAGTCCAACTGCGTAGCAAGTCTTGTGAATTTCCTTTTGACAAGCCTCATCTTCACTAATGAGCTTTACGTCTGGTGATGAGTTCCGAACCTCATATCCAATGACGAGCTTCGAACCTCGTTTCCAATGACGCGCTTCGAACCTCATTTCCAACGACGAGCTTCGAACTTCGTATCCAATTGTAGGTGTCAAAAATTACATATAGGTCCCCGCACATGGCTCGAGATAGAGATAAGATGATGAACATCGCTATTCAAGTCACATAAGATCATTTGATGATGACAAACACATGAAGTGAGTCAACAGACCATGCGAACCAACGAAACTTTAGAATAACGGAAACACGAATGAACCGGGACCTGCACGTCACTTACGAAAGATGAAGCGCCCCTTATGTCCCATTTACTCCACATATGATTCAATCATGGGAGCTTGTAGATCTCCTCGTCGGCTTTCCGACGCACTCTGGATCGTGCGATTTTGAGTTCGGATGATGAAAATACAGCGAAAATGGACGGAATACACGAAACCAAACCTTGAGCCAAAGTCCAGACACCCTTTGGTGTCTCGACCAACCCGAGACACCCAAAGGTGTCTCGGCTTGGTCGAGACACTCTAAGGTGTCTCGACCAAGCCGAGACACGCCTTTGTGTCTTGTTCTTAGCCGAGACACACACAAGTGTCTCGGCCACGCCAAGACACCCACGGGTGTCTACAGACCCAAAAACTGGATTTTGGTAGATTTTGGCAGATTTTTGCTGTTTTTCGACAGTTAACCGCCTAGATTTGCTTCAACTGATAAAATATTATCCATGAATGTGGTTAAGTGGTTATAACTGAGGATAAGAGGGAATCGGCCATTCTTATCCGAAAACAGGGCTCCTGAAGCCTATAAATACAGCCCCAGGGCCTTTATTTTTTGAGATCTGGAATTCTCGAGTGTTGGCGAAGCCCTGCCAAACTGAGGATTGAAGAGCCACGAATTTCAGAAAGAAACAGGAGATATCAACGAATTCTTCGGCATAAAAAAGAGGAGTTCGTCAGATCTGCAGCCCGGTTCCTTCCCTTGAGATTGCCTCGTTGCGGTGATCTCGAGAAGAGTGATTATCTCGCTGTTGCCGAGATAATTACTTCGGTTTCTTGATTCCTTCGCGAATCAACGAAGCTATAGATCTGATCTGATCATTTGATGGTCCACGGATATCAACGTCCTCGTCACAGGCAAAGATCTCACGCAAGCAGTGGGCGATAAACACCCGTTGTGTTTGTTTAAAGGAGATTATAATTTTAATTTCATTGTGTAAAGGTCTTATAAAAAGACCGATCTTTTTTTGAACTTGTTGTAACGACTGAAGTTGTAATAAGTTATACAATAAAGAAATCAATTTCCCATGCAAATAAGCTGGCGACTACAGTGGGAGCCAACAGCCTCGCTGTCGAGGCTGTCATGCCACAGCCAACGATCAAGATCCCCGTGACTGAAGAGGTCGAATACGAGTTCGACCAATAGAAGTTCGAGGAGTACATCTCCTCCTCCTCCTCCAGATCTGCCTCTCCTCACAAGTGCAGGAAGGTCTCCTCCTCCCGGAAGATTCGCCGGTCTTCAGATCTGAAGACCCAAGAAGACGATCTTCTCGCTACCGTTGCTGCAGTTGCTCCTCGCAATAATCCGCTGGCGTCTAATGAAGTCGGATCTGCAGATCTGAACTCCTCATCGATCAAGAAGTCGACTGCTAAAGGCGTGTCAACTTTATCAAAGAGAGCACGTCAAACGCAATGCCAATGCCTCGTGCGCCAATTCGCTAAGGCTTTGGATCAGGTGGACGGACTCCGTTACCAAGGGAATTTAGAGTTCAGAAAGCGTCAAATGGCTAAGCTATCGCCACAACAAGTATCGGGATCCTCCTCCCAACCTCCAATTAACAAATGGGTTCGGGTCAAACGAACCTGTTCTACTCTCAAGGAGCGCATCCAGAAGCGCCACGCACTTCTTGTGCATACCCAGATCTTTGTGTGAAAGGCACGAGAATTACAGCGGGAAGAGGTGGTCAAGAAACCACTAAGATCTAAGCAGGTTTGGGTGCCGAATGCCAAAATGGCGCCTCTACCCAAGAGACACAAGTTGTGTCTCTCACTCGATTCCAGATCCAAGGCTGCTCCCCGGCCTTCGTCAACTCCAGATTCCGCTTCTATTCCTCTTGCACCTCCGGTGAAGCCCTATGACAGCTTGGATCTCTCCAAATCCAGAATTCCATTGAAGGCTCGCCCGGGTCCTCTACATGAAGATCGAGGCAAAACTCCTATTAAAGAATGCTTGGGCCTAGTGAAGGAACCCCAAGCAACTCAACGAGATGGGGGGTCACATGCGCCCTCATGACAATATGAAGCCTTCTCATAAGGAGAAATTCCATCAACTAACCACATCGGACTGCGAGTCGAAGTCTAAGAGCCCGTTGAGGTCCCGTGCTCTCGAGAGCGTGGCTCTAAACGCGTGACTCTTCAGAACGCCAATAATGTAGCAAGTCCTCAGAAGGAAACGTGTTCGTTAGACGACAACGTTATACCTGAGAAGTCATGCCAACACGCGATAGATTGCTCTGGTCATCATGTCGATGAGTTGTACTATCAGGCTGGGGGTACGAACAAGTCTCGGAAGAGAAGTACCCGAGGAATGGACTCTTACTGTCCGTGTACCAAGATTATTAGGGCAGTATTATCAGCGTATAGCTGCCCCAAGACCGCTCCGCAGAGGGTCTCAGTATTCGAGAGGATTTCCACTGAAACGTCGAATACCAAGCTAAGGCGTCTCCACAAGAGAAGGTCGGTCATTCAAAAGGACAAACTCCCGGAGGTAACCATCAACATGGTTGACAAGGGAAAGTCTGTGAGGGGTACAAATGGCTCGAATCCGGATTTCTCTCCAAGAAGAGAAGTCAGTTTAGGAATCACCCAACGAATATCTCGGCTTCAGCTAGAAGCCGTCGGACATAGCAATTGCCCGAAAATCCATGAAGGAATCCATTCCGATGATGAACTCTCGGACTCTTGTTCTGCAATTGCCTCCGACGACACAATGTCTAGCGAGGGGCAAGCTCGAGAAGTGTTTATGATCAACACTAAACAAATGACCAAAATCATCGAGGACGCTTTGGCTAAACAAAAAGAGAACTTTAAGTTTGAATTGGAAATGGCCATGATACGGATGAAGGAAGAGCATGACCAACAAATTCGAGCTCTGTCCAATCAATTCGGTGAATCCAGTTGTCGCAACGATGCTAACCGAGCAAATAGCGATTCATATGTGGATGAACGCATCAATGCTGACAACCCTCCCGTTGACCAGAACGCTAGGGGTGGTTCCACCGAAGATGATAATGCCGGGGGTGGCTTGTTGTTCCTCTCAGAAATCATCTGAAGCATGATACAGATGAGGACGAAAAGATGAAGGACCTTGAGAGAAAAATCAATGCTCTGATGTCTGCCCAAGAGGTAAAGAGAACTGGTATTCCGTGTCCTTAC